TATATAATATATTCATATCTCTCCAATGATAGCATATGATAATATTTTTTTATCTGGCACTTCACACATAATGATATATCTTTTTTAAAATATATTTTTATTGATTTCAGAGAGGAAGGGAGAGGGAGAAAGAGATAGAAACATCAATGAGGAGAGAAAATCATTGATTGGCTGCTTCCTGCATGCCCCACACTGGGGGTGAAGCCTGCAACCCGGGTATGTGCCCTTGGCTGGAATCGAACCTGGGACCCTTCACTCCAGAGGCCAACGCTGTGTCTACTGAGCCAAACTGGCTAGGGCCATAATGATATATCTTGATGGTCACCCCATGCAATATAGAAATATTCCTTTCCTTTCCCAGCTGCGTAGTACTCTGTCGTGTATTGGCACCCTGTTTATCTATCAGTCCCTATTATAGCCATTGCTGAGTTCCAGTCTTTTGCTACTTCCAATAATGCTGCAATGAAGAGCCTCGTGTGTATTACTTAATTTTTGTATTTTTTGACCATATGTCTTTAAGATGGATTCTTAGAAGGGAAATTTCTGAGTCAGAGGGTATAAACGTCTATGTAAAATTGCTAGATAGTGCCACTACCCAGGAAACTGATTTCTATTGTATATTGAATCACAGTTGTAAAAATACAATGAAGGGAAGAAATCAAGACCTCCCTGAAGAGGTGACATCCACCTCTTTGACAGAGCGACCTACCTTGACAGGAGACTCATTCAGTGCTGCCGAAATGATTAGGGGGCTCCCCATGCCTCCTTGTAGAAGGGCCCCTCCCGAGTCCTCCTCCGAGACAGGGTGCCACTTTGCCTTCCTGGGCCACTGCTTCTGTTGCCCCAGCCTGCCTCACTGGCTCTATAAAAAAAGGTCAGTAGACATGTTAAAGCAAAATCAGCCTCGTAAAGCAGAATCTTCCAGATAATTTATATTTATCAAAATTTTATCAAATTTATGAAAGTCAGCCCTCTCCCTCAGGAAAGGGAATTGAGATCAGGAGATTGTGCCACGTGGCCTGCAGCCCTGCGCTGAGAGAGGTCAGCCAGGGCAGAGCCGGCCACCTGGAGAGGCGGCAAAGTCCAGTCCGTGTTTCTCCCAGAGCTGTTCTTTCAGCCTCTCGTGACATCAAGGATTTTCTGGAGAGCAAGCAGCTTTCGTTTGCCAAAGTCTCCCTTCAGGGAAGGTGTGTTTGCATCTGCTGCAGGCTCTGCGTGGTGAAGTGTAGAAATGCCCAGCCAGAGCCATGCTTGTGCCTGAAAAATGATAGCACCATCTCTCGTCTCCTCCACCAGACTTTGTCACTGTCTGCCCTGATTGTCACCATGTGTGGGAAGACCTTGCTTTGCATGCAAAGCTGCCAGCTTTCTGAAGATGGGGATCACGTCTGCATCACCACCTTGCACCCCTCGGTACCTGGGATGAACCGCTGAGGAAACTAAAGCCACTCTAAAGTGGGAATGTCCAAGGCTCTTGTAAAGATTGACAGAGGCACGGTTGTGACATGAAGCCTTCTGTACAGTGTGACGTCAAATACAATTATTGTTACTGTTAGAAGAGGCACTTGACTAAGCGATTACCAAATGAGTAAACAAATGAGGCAGTGTGAAAAGAAAAGTATGGTGCGAATGAGTGTTCCAGGAATTTGGATCCCCGTGGGGGATGGGCCACTGCAGAAGGGAGACTGGAGGATGGGAAGATTTGGCTATGTTGGCATTCATATGCCAGTAGGAGTGGGGAAAATTTCTAGGAAAGGGAAAACTGTACCGGCAGTTTGACAACAAGCACTGTTTGCAGCAACATCCTGGTCAGAGGAGTTCTATAAGGAAGTTGAGAAAAGTAGGGTCCAAAGGTAGCTAACATCCATCAGAGTCACTTTGTGCTGGGAACTGAGCTAAGTGCTTTACCTGGGCGACCTCATTTAATCCTCAGGGCAGCCCCATGGGGTGGTTACTATTCTGATCACCCTCAGCGAACAGATCAGGAAATTGAGACACTGAAAGGTTAATTAACTTACCTGACGGCTTGGGAGAGCCCAAGCGTTCAGTGAGTGTCCATAGGACTTTGAACTGCCACAGGCAGAGGAGAGCCGCTGAAGTACAGGAGTGACATGGCTACCTTGGTGCTTCAGAAAAAAGCAATATGGTATCATAGTTTGGAGTGTGGACTTTGGCACCAGACTACCTGGTGTTTAAAATTTCCAGTTCTGCCACCATTTGAGACATATTATTTAACTGCCCTGTGCCTCAGTTTCCTCATCTATAAAATGGGGGGGTAATAAGAGCATCCGGCTTTCAGGGTTTTTTTGAGGAGCCAATGAGAGATAGTGAATGTAGACGAGTGGCCATTGTTAGCTCTGGTCAGTATGTTCGCTGTCTGCTAGGTGGATCCGGAGAGAGGTCAGAGGCAGGGAGGCCACGGGAGGCTGGACTGAAGCAGCGCTGCCCAAGGTGATGGCAACTGGACTAAAGTAAGATATTTTAAAGTAAGATTCTGTAGGATTCATTAACTAGAAGTATGGGGTAAAAAAGTAATAGTTAATGGCTCTCAGATCCCCAGTCCCACTGAATGGGAGGAAACGGGCTCCTGATAGCAGCAGCTAAACTAGGAAAGGAGCTACTTTTGGGGGGCAAGACCGCATTTTGGGAAGGTGTGGGAGTGTTAGGAGGACCTTGGGTTCTATTGCCAGCTCTGCTACCAGCTGGCATGTCATCTTGGCAAAAGTCTCCTTCCTTCTCTGGGCCTGTTTTCCCATCGGTAAAACGTAAAACGAAGCTTTTACACTTGAGATCTACCGATTCCCAAGTTAGATAGTTTCCAGTTTTGCCTGGGAGTGCCCTAAAGGGAGAACGATTCTGAAGGCCTGGCTCTTAAGCTTTTTAAGGTTCACGAGTAGGTGATAGGAGGAAGGTAGTAATATAAGTAGAGGACGCCATCCCCTTATTTATTTATTTTTTTTCTTTGCACCTGCTTAAATGCTGTACCTCGATCTCTGCAATCGCCCTCTCAGCCAGGCTCTCCAAAACAGCCTGTCCCGTAGATCCTGGCACCTGTCAGGAGATTCTGGGGACCTGTGTCGGAAAAAGTTAAGTTCATTGTTTATTTGATTTTGCCACACGCTCTTTCACTTAATTGGTTCCTGACTGGGCTTTGTTTTCCTACCAGATTAGAGAAGAAAGGGAAGGTTGTTTTTAAAGTTCACTGTCCTTAGCACTGGTATCAGAGATACAGCGACAGTGAAACTGGAACCCTGGGTGGTGGCAGCAGCTCAGAAGAGCTTGTGTTTACCCAGAGGGTGCACCTGAGAGGGCAGAGCATTCTGTGCCAGGTGTGTGCCTGGAACTGGTCTTGTGCAGGTGCATGCCAAGGGCCTTCCATTCAGGACAGCTGTAGGCGAATGGGCAGACACTCTTCTGAAAAGAGCTACATTTTGAAATAGCGTTTCACAAAAAATAAATAGGATGACAAAACTGAGGCTGAACAATGAACACGTTGAGCGCATTCAATCAACCTAGATAGAAATAGACACCTGGGGATACATTTGTTTCAAATACAATACCACTTACACAACATAGCAGGATAGCATTACAGAGAGGGTACCCCCTCCTCCTTTTTTATTTATTTACTAAAGGTCCAGTGCACAAATCTGTGGGGTCCCTCACCTGGTTTGTGGGGATCAGGCTGAAACTGGCAGTCCAACATTTCCTGAGGGGTCCTGGAGTTCGAGAGGGTGCAGGCCAGGCTGAGGGACCCCACCGGTGCACGAATCCATGCACTGGGCCTCTAGTATGCATATAAGATCTTTGGTTAATCTCCTCCCACTTTTCCCTATCCCCCTCCCCCTTCCCTCTGAGATTCATCAGTCTGTTCTATGTTTCCATGCCTGTGGTTTCTGCTCCTGTGTTGAGCGTCTGCCTCCTGATGGTCAGTGCACGTCATAGCTACCATATAGTCGGCCGGTCGGCTGGTAGGCCGGTCGGCTGGTCAGCCAGTCACTTAGGCTTTTATATATAGAGATTTATTTTTTTTTTAGCTTAGCATCTGTGCCTAATCCATTTTCCTCAGGTAGTGACAATATTTAGAATTAAACTTAGGAATTAAAAATTAATTCTACCATATCAGGATTGATAGTCATTTTAAAAACTTTAATTGATTCTCAGACTTAATGATTAGAAGAGACTTTGATATTAAGTAGGCTTCTTTCAGTTCACACATAATCACAGGTATTATTCATGTTGGCAAATATTTATTGAGAGTGGTGGTGGAGAGGCGAGTCAGAGCGCCAGAGGGATCTGGAGACAGAGTGAGCCAAGCCAGGGTCAGGGCAGCAGTGGGACCCTTGGAGGTGGGGCCAGTGAGACGAGATCATCTCCCCAGGAGGCGGAGAGACATTCCCCAAGAAGCACCAGACGTGTGCAGTGCACTACACAGGAATGCTCCAAAATAGAAAGAAATTTGATTCATCCAGAGACAGAAACAAACCTTTCAAGTTCAGAATTGGCAATCAGGAAGTCATCAAGGGTTCCGAAGAGAGTACAGCCCAGATGAGCTTGGGGCAGAGGGTGAAGCTGACCTGCACCCCTGATGTCGCCTATGGAGCCACTGGCCACCCCGGTGCCACCCTCATCTTTGACGTGGAGCTGCTCAACTTAGAGTGAAGGCAGGAACTTAAGGTGGCTGGAGATGGCTGCTGCTCACCCTCCTAGCTTGCTCTGGCACTGGGACGGCTCCTCCTGCTTGGGGCTCTTGATCCGTGCGCTAACTTCGCTGCCCCACAACATTATCCATTCTCTCTGCCCAAGTTGCTCTGTGTTGGTCATTGTTCATGGGCATCTTGGCTTGAGGAAACTTCAGTTGCACATCAACATTCAGGTTGTATGCATGTAGTGATGCATGTAGTAGCCATTCTTGGTCACAGAACACAGACTTCTTGTTTGTACAATCTATACTGCCTTACCTTCATGTAAGCCAGATACATAAGGTGCTCAGATATGAAATGTACGTGGCTTACACAGAGGGACTTGAGCCAGTTACCTTTGCTGTCACTTTCTCTCTTAGAAATTGTTGGCTGCTGACTTACAAACTGTCCTCTTTGGAAATGACATGTAAAATAAAGGCTCTGTGCTTGACAAAAATAAAAAAAAATTATTGAGCATTTTTGTTGTTGTTAATCCTCACCCAAGGATCAGATATGAAATGTACGTGGCTTACACAGAGGGACTTGAGCCAGTTACCTTTGCTGTCACTTTCTCTCTTAAAAATTGTTGGCTGCTGACTTACAAACTGTCCTCTTAGGAAATGACATGTAAAATAAAGGCTCTGTGCTTGACAAAAATAAAAAAAAATTATTGAGCATTTTTGTTGTTGTTAATCCTCACCCAAGGATATAACGGGATTGAACCTGAAACCCTGGCGTATTGGAATGATGTTCTAACCAACTGAGCTAGCCAGCCACAACAATTTGCTATTCTTTAATTGTTATTATTATTTTTAAAAATATATTTTTATTGATTTTAGAGAGAGAGGAAGGGAGAGGGAGAGATAGAAACATCAATGCGAGATATACATTGACTGGCTGCCTCCTGTACACCCCATATTGGAGAACGAGCCTGCAACCTGGCATGTGCCCTGATTGGGAATCCAACTGGCGACCTCATGGTTCATGGGACAATGCTCAACCACTGAGCCACACTGGCCAGGCTAGCCTAGGCTATAAACTATTGGATGGGCGCAATGTTTTTGTCCTGTTGTTTCTCCAGTGCTTGGCTTATTCTAAAACACACAGTAGTCATTTGGTAAATAGTTCTTTAATGAATGATATGAATGATGGCAACACCACAAAAAGGAAGGCTTTTTTTTTTTTTTTTTTTTTAAGGAACCTCTCATTAACCTCTTTTCCTTATGTCTGGCTAACCAGAAATATGTGAGCAGTGGCGATGGTTTGTCACTATGAACGGAGACCAGTAACGGTTCAGATAACCTTGCACTAAAAAAGGAATGAGATTGTTCCTCAGAGAAGAGAAGAGTTTTGTTATTCGAGAAAACTTTCTGAAAGGCCCAGGTGTGCAACATGCTGAGGGCGGAGAAAGAAAACCTGGCCACATTTTGTCCTGATTTTTCAAAATCCCTTCCCAGTCAGTCCATTTGTTCATCTACACCTTGAGGTCACGGTAAGATGATACACACATGTTTACAATGAAATGTCGCTAGCAAAACACTCAGAGTTTAGCCTTGGTTTCTGGTCAAATTTAGCAACAAATACCCACATCCACACTTGGAGATGCAAGAGGATCACATAAATACTAGATCAGGGTCTCCTTCCAAAGCTTAGAAACTGCAGAGTAAGAGAATGGGGGAAAGAAGGCAGAAGAGGGCATGAGGGGGAAAAATGGTGGTGGACAGAGGCTTGACTTGGGGTGGTGAATACACAGTACCGTGTATAGATGATGTGTGGCGGAGTTGTGCACATGAAACCTGTATAATTTTGCTAACCCGTGTCACCCCAATAAATTCAATGAAAAGAGAAAAAAATAGAAAAACAAACAAACTGAAGAGTGGCTGTTTATGGAACCCATCACAGAACCCCACTGTGCGCTCAGCACTCTGGGTTTGTCTTACCTTCAATCACACACTCAGAACAAGATGAAGGTGGGGGGGGGGGTTCTTAGGAAAACACAGCTGCAAGTCTGAGCTTGTGTGTAAATGTTTCTTTGCCTCATGCACATGCTGTTTGCTGATTTGCTTGGCGCTAGAAGCTAAGCTTTTGAGCTTTAAACTTAATCCTGAAAGACCTGAATGGATGCCTCTTAATCACGCCCGTGATGCAGTAAATCAACACCTTATTAGGAAGTCATTCACATATTCAATATTTAGGAACTTATTGCAAGAGAATTGCAACATATAAAGCCCTCAGGCTGGAAGAGATACTGCTAATCTGTTTTGTGTACAGAGCAGAGCTAGCTGACATTGTGCAAAATAGGGCTGAGCTACCAATCCTCTACCCATTCATATATTTCATCAAACTAAAACACAACCTTCTATTTTATTTATCTATTTATCTATTTTTCAAAATTGTATATTTTTATTTATTTCAGAGAGGAAGGGAGAGAGAGAGAAAAAGATAGAAACATGAATGATGAGAGGAAATCATTGATTGGCTGCCTCCTGCACACCCTCTCCTACCAATCAGCCCGCAGCAGCTTGGGCATGTGCCCTTGACCAGAATCGAACCCGGGACCCTTTAGTCCGCAGGCCGGCGGTCTATCCACTGAGCCAAACCAGCCGCTGGGGCAAATCCAACCTTTTAAGTAATGAAAACACCCAGTATAATTCTCCACCCCACCTTTCATACATATCTTTTCCCCCTCTTTGTGGTCTTCTTTATTAAGACAAATTGAAATTAAGTCCTGATTTGTGGAGAGCAAGATTTCCAGGATTGAGTACCTTCTCTGTGCCAGGCACGGCTCTGGGCACTTGAAATATATCAGCAAATGAAACAAAGACCTCTGCCCTTGTGGAGCTTATATTCTAACGGGGAACTTTAACAATAAACAAAAGTAGAATAAACAGAAAATTGTATAGGTTGTTGGAAGGTGACAATTGATAAGGAAAAAGTAACACCGAGTATTGTTAGGGGTGGTGGAGGGAGCTGCGGTATTAAACAGGTGGTCAGTCACATGGAAAGACCTGAGCAGACGTGAAGAAGGTGAGGCAGTTAGCGACGCAAGTGCTTGGAGGACGAGCACTGCAGGTAGGACCAGCAGAGCAAAGGCCCCAGTGTTGTGTGTGCTGCTTGTGTCAGTAGAACCCCCAGGAGACCATGTGGCAGGTGAGGAGTAAACCAGGTTGGCTATTGGAGGGGATATCCGAGAAGGAAAGAGGAGGGGGAGCAGGGCAGGTGGGCTGTGTGACCTGCATAAGGACGTGTGTTGGCTTGTCGAGTCAACATAGAAACTGGAAGAGGTCAAGTGACTGACAGGCAAGGCTGGTTCTTTGAATAAGCAGAGTGGTAACCTGGGAATCAGATCTAGACTTTGCCTCTGCCTCTATCACTAAGTAAATTGCCTGACCTTTTTCAATAAACAGAGTGATAACCTGGGAATCAGACCTAGACTTTGCCTCTGCCTCTGCCACTAAGTAAATGGGCAGGCCTCTTTCAGAGCGTTTGTCTTCAGGGTTGAATTAGATCACTCGTAACTCTCCTTTCAGTTCTAAGATCCTATGACATTAGGCAGCCATCTCCAACATTGGTGATTTGAACAGCAGGGTAGTATCTGGAAATCCAAAGTTCTCACACCTCTGCTGCCAGGAGACCTAAAATCTCCAGACAAACCAAGGCATCAGACTTTCTGGAGTCATGGGACCCTTTAGGAAAAGTTGGACAAGAGCTATACAACCTCTCTCCAGAAAAAAACAGCTACTACTGTGCATAGGATGTTGCTCACAGCTGTGGGAAATTCATGGGGTTCTTGAAGCATAACCATGGAACCCCCCATCCTAAATGACCCGTGGGTTCTTCTATACATCTTCCATTAAAATATTTTGCCCTACTGGCATGGCTCAGTGGTTGTTCACTGACCTATGAACCAGGAGGTCAGGGTTCAAATCCTGGTCATTGCACATGCCTGGGTTGCAGGCATGTCCCCAGTATGGGGTGTGCAGGAGGCAGCCAATTGGTGATTCTCATCATTGATGTTTCTATCTCTCTCCCTCTCCCTTCCTCTCTAAAATTAATAAAAATAGACTTTAAAAATATTTTAAAGTTAGTATTTTACTATTCTATCTATCTATCTATCTTTGTTGTTTTGTTGTTGATAAATTTGCTTTATTATGGTGCTTTATCCCAAAATACTTACCACAAGTATCTAACATAGTCCCTAAATGGTTTGTTTTTGAATGTTTATTTTCAAGATGCTGACTTTTTGGTTCAGACCAGTTTTCTTGTAGAGTAGACTGTCCCCACTTCTGGATTTGATTGATTGTTCCCTACTAGTGTCTCACTCCTTCCTCTATCTCCTGCATGCCCTGTAAACAGGAAGTTAATGTTAATGGAAAATTGTGAGTTTAATTAGATTAAAGCACAATGTACTCTGGGAAGGGGTAATCCATTTTCAGATACTGACTAGATTAAATGCCATTTTAGGTGTTGGCACTTTAAAAGAGCATTATTATCCTTACGACTCCATCCCTAATGTTTACCCACCGAGGGAGGGTTACAATGAGTGGGAGACAGAGGCAAGCTTTCCGTAGCAGGAAGAGGAACAGCACTGAATTTGGAGTTTAGCCCTGAAGTTGATCATTTTCATTCCATGGTCCTCAGTTTCTCCATCTAAACATCAATTGGATTTTCCTTTTAATGTATTTTTCGGCTCAAATGAAATAATAGATCAGGAAATTCTTTCCTTGTAAAATGAGAAGAAAAGAATGCTAACATGTGACGTGAGCAGCAGGGAAATATTTACATGGAAGCATCTCTTCTTCAGAGACTGACACCAAATGTAGAGATGTCCTAATTCATCTCAAGTAAGCAAAGTATGAAGGTATGTATGTATGTATGTATGTATGAATATATGCATCTATCCATCCATCTATCTAGAGCAGTGGTTCTCAACCTGTGGGTCGCGACCCCTTTGGCGGTCGAACAACACTTTTACAGGGGTCGCCTAAGACCATCCTGCATATCAGATATTTACATTACAATTCATAACAGTAGCAACATTACAGTTATGAAGTAGCAACGAAAATAATTTTATGGTTGGGT